ATGATATAATGTTTATATAATTGATAAATAATTACACATTGTGATTTATTAAAAAAATAGCATTAATAGAATCTATAGCATCGTCCTCTATATAAACATCGCTCATAGTTTTATGAAAGTTGTTCGAAATAATTTTGATGCAACCAAATTCAAAGATGTTGTCCCCAGAGTGGATGAACTGCAAAATGCATGAGCATTCTACAGTGAAATTGTAAACCAACTGTGAATGAGCCAATTGTACCATAGTAAGTCTTAGCAGGCTTCATATCTTTTTATACCAACTGGAATGATTCCAAGCTAGCTTTCAGTGGAGTTCAGATTATTATGGCTTGGGAGATCCCTAAAACCATTTCAGTACAATGTACATCAAGGTATTGGATCAAATTACACATTTCAAAAAATTTCCTGCACTGTATAAACTTTTTGTGATATATCCTTTCAAATGGGAGATGTAAGCATTTGACAAAACTGTGATTCTGAAAATATAACAAATTACAAATCCATAAAGTAAATTGGAGAATTAGTCCACCACTACCAGTGTAAAAAATAAGCATAGGCTAAGCTTACTCATGGCCATCCTATTTTTCGCGGGGCTTGAGGCGAACTTCAAGATCTGGGCCCCTGAGTCATAGCAGACTAACCCCATGATCACCAGCTCATGCCTCCAAACTTGTCACAGCTTCTGGTACACTTGATTTCCCTAAATTTTAGCTATCTCTGGTTAATATTTCCGCTCATTTATATCACTGTAAAAACTCACAGTACCTCAAATAGAAGGGGATCATATTTTCTCCCCCATAAGGACAGAATATTAAGAAGTCAAATAAAGCTTGATCCATATAAAATACAACTAAGCCCGGCCAAGAGTTCATACCTAGCAAATTAATGTGAGTACATCAGTCAAGCAACAAATACCCAAGTAACTTTAACTTGACTCATCTTGCATATTTATGTTGTGTAAACTAACATTTCAGGTAATGGTGCAAATGTGCCTCTCTGTGGCTGTAGATCACTTAATGCAATAACCCACACACTACACTATTTCTAGCCACAGCATATTTTCAAATGTCAATCAGTTGGATGTTTATAGAACATTAAGTAGCTTGTTTTAAGGGCATTAGCAAAACGACGAGAGCTCAAGGATTCAACCTTGAGGTCTTTCTTTCTTTTCTTTTTCCCAATTCCCATCCTCCACAAAGGACACGCTAGAAAGAGAGATTAAAAAGCCTATGGCAATGCCACTAATTACATCAGAACCCCTTAAATCAGAATGAAATCTCTTCCAAATTCATGACTGTTCCAGAAATATGGGAAAGGTTTATTTATCCAAATTATAACAAAACTTGACATATAAAAGAAAGAAACAAATATAATTGAGATTCCTGAAACAAATATAGACAGAACTTTTAAGTGATGGGCTAATAGCAATAGGAACCAGAAATCCATAAGCGACTTGCTAAGTTAAATCATAGCACAAGGCAAAAGTAGTAGCTGAGGAAGCTTTGGGTTGTGTTCCAGCAGTAAGCAGAATATCTATTCGCATAACTATAAAATATTCAAAATTAGAAATATCACAAAAGGAATCTACCTCCTGATTTATTTCTCATCCAATCTACCTTCGAAGAGCACTAAATTAACTAATTTAATTAAGTAATTTAAGTCCAACTACACTGTCCCAACCCCGATCACGGATCATCCTTAATCATCCATCCATTATCATTTATCCATACTCAAATTTTCAAATCTCAATCACAATAAAATATTAAGCAACAGGAGAACAATGTGTGTCGTAAGTCTTGTGATTGTGTTTGTGTAGTGTGTGTAAACAAAATTCAAAATACAGTAAACACTTACTAAAAAATCACGAATTCACGCCTCAAGGCCTCAATTTTTTCTCTCTCTCAGACCTCAGTGGCTCAGTCTCTCTGTGAGTCTCTGTGTATTTTGATTTTTGTAGCTGCTCGATTGGCGCTGCGGCGGAGCCTGGAGGACCGAGGAGGTGAGGACGGAGAGGTTGACTGGAGGAGACGCATTTGGACTGAAGTTTGCAGCATTTGGAGTCGCCTCTGCCTCAGCGTCGTAACTGTGGTCTGTGGAGGGAGAACTGAGAAGTGAAGACGGTTTCAAGTAACTTTATTAGACAAAAAAACGTAATGCTTACCACAGCCAAGAAGTTCTGAACAAAGCAACGGAGGCATATACAGTTTCTATAAATTGAGATGTTAGGATTAGTCAAATCTTCGTATTCATCTTGGAAACTGCAACAAACACCACCCATTAATACCAGTTCCCAATATACTTTAATACGTCAAAAACCTTCCACTATCCCAACAGTTTCCTGATGTAATTATATGAACATCAAAAAATAAAATCCTGTGGCACGGAGATAATTTAATGATACAGAGAGAGGATTCGAGCTCGCAGAACCTTTCTTTGCAAACCAGCACCTTTCTCTCACTCTCTCTCCCAAGTGCCCTTTCGAATATAGTAGGCCTTAAACACCAGATATAATATATTTTCACCTGCAAAAGGAAGAAAGGAACACTTATTGGATCAGAAACTACTAACAAATAAAATTCCAACTCTAGGAAATCACTGCAAATTGACATCAATGAACAAATTAAATTTTACAATTAAAGGGCATATGACAAAGTATGTACACAGAAATTATAGAAAATATTAAGTAATCCGGTCCACTCATTTCAGATACGCAATAAAATAGCATCATCTTTTAT